TCAAAATATTCTATGAAAAGCCATTGCAAAAAAGTACAAAATGGACTTAAAAACACTGGTACCAGTATTAGTACATTCTACCATGTAAGGGTGACTGATTCATCACCAATACTGACATGATATATACTTTTGAAATCACGCTACCCTTTGAGAGCAACCTCTTGTTTCGCGTCATTGATCTGTTACTATTTTGTAACGCCGCAGTGTGTCAAAGCAGCATCACAATGCAAGCACAAACTTGCACATTGGAAATTAACCAGCCATACCCACAAATGAGAGGCCACTTCTACCGAGAAAGAGTAGTTGGAAAGGCTCAGCCGAAAAGCTTGATAGTTCACATTCATCGAGATCCGACGCTTTCGAGCAAAAGTGAAGATCCGTTTCCGGTCCTTTCAACTCAATTGCGAAATATATCAACTAGTGCCGGAACAAGTTAATTTTATTTGCTCGCAGTTTACAGGATGCTGCGTAAACAAGCTCGTTGTGATGCGAAGCGAAAGTTGTAGTTCGTGTCTCTAGATCATGCGTACGTGTCTAAAAATTTTGGAATACGATTTGGATAGAATTTGCTCAGCTTTCGCTTCTGCATGTTTGTGGTTTCGAAGCTTCAGAATCGATTGTTATTTGATGACATTACATGAAGTCTGGACGGATCTGCTAATTGTGTGAGGGTAAAATGTGATTGTAATAAACTTCAGAGTGTGTTATTTTTGGTTTTTTGGTTTTTTAGTTTTTTGGTTTTTTAGTTTTTTGGTTTTTTTTTGTGTTTTTTGTTTTTGCTGTCTTCTTTTCTTCGTTTGAGGGTTATCATGATGCTGTGTGTGTATGCTAAGTTGTGATTGAAGGAGAAAAAGGGAAATATTGGGAGACAGAATGCGGAATAGGATGAAATGCTTGGGTGCGAAGTTGCGTTTCGCTCTCATAAAGGGGGGGGTTGCTTTGGCAGCTCTCACGTAGTGGAAAAAAAGCGCAACCAAATGGACATCACCCACATTCAGTGCCTTCAACGCTTCAAAGATGAATGCCTCGGTTAGAGCAAGACAAACACACAGCACACTGATTAAGTCCCGTTGGAGGTAGCTGAAGCTTATCCAAAAGACGAGGGTATCGGTCTCGCTCTATCCTCGTGGTTTCGCATTAACGTGCCACCTTTTGCTTCCCCAGGGTAAAAATCAAATAAAATAAAGATAAAGCAAGCAAACGTATCGCCCCGAAGTAAACAAAATCTACACATGATTCGCGAAGGAGACGGAAATTGCGTCTGCGTCGGCTGAGAATTGTGAGGATTTCATGAATTCGAAACGCATAGCGACCCACCAGAAGAGACCCCAACACTTGTCTCCACCGCAGACACTGCCTCCAGTAATATCTCCATCAGATTCTTTACCCAGATAAGCCTGAGCTCATGCCACGCTACTCTTTACATGTTGAGGCGTCGTGTGCATTGGTAACGTGCGCTCGCGTGTTTCCAGACGATGCTCTTGTGTAGCACTGAAGGAATGGGTATCTGTATCGGAAAAGGTCAAACCAGGTGGATTAAAATAAAACCCAATAAAATAAAAATAAAAATAGACAAACAAAACTATCTAGCGGCTGAAGCAACCTCCGCATCACTCCTCCAACAAACCCAGTAACGAACAAAATCGAACGAGAGTGTGGAAAAACGGAGTTGCGACATTCGCCAGCCGGCAAGAGCTACACCCAGAGGTTGAGCTGAACCTCGTCGGGAGAGGGAGGGACGAGGCATATTTGCAGCAGGGATGTTGGAAAGCAATTGGCGACAAGCCGGGGGTGTTCCCCGACGGTAATGGTGGAATTTTTCCATGTGGGTCCCATAAAACTGAGCAACGCCGATGCCGTGCGATGCTGACAGCCCCACATGGTGGACCCTCGCGATCGCACCGCCCCGGCAGGAAGATGAACAAGCCGCTCCGGTGGTGGTGGGCATAAACACCATCACCAAATTAGGGTTTCCCCAGATATCAAGCCTGCCTGCCTTCTTAGGTAAATATATATATATATATACATACGAACATTTCTTTCTTTTGGGTTTAGTTTCCCTTTCCCTTTCGGCGAGATATTTGTATTCTTGTGTAGATTTTTCAGTCGCCAGAGTGCCTGCCCCCATGTGCTCGTTTTTCCATTGCGCTTTGCTTGCTTGCTTGCTGGGGGTTTTGAGTACCTCCATCACTAATTATGTGTCCACTTCTTTGCTACACTACCCCCACCTAAATTGGTGACCTCTTGTTACAATTTCTCGTTGTATATGGTCATTTTGGCGTGCTTCTAGCATAACTCAATTCAACTTAATGTTGACTGTTTTAAAGATGAGCGTTGAGAATGTTGTTGTGATTTGGTATTTTTGTTTGCCTTTTTATTTTATGTTAAATGGGTAAAATAAGTACTCTGTGTAAAAATTTAAACATACCAAATGTGATGAAATAACATGATTCTTGCAATAATATTAAGACAGCTTGATAACAACCAGTTTTTATTTATTTTTATTGTGCTAAACATTATTATATTTATTTGTTTTTGTGTGTGTGTGTGTGTTCATCTTCTTTTGTGTATGTGTGTATGTATATGTTTTGTATCATTAATACCTGATAACACATTAGTACCTTAATTGTTCAAAAAAGGGCCTGCTGTTACATATTTGTTATATTCAAATTATGCTCTGGTTTTCTTCATTAAAAATAAAATTTATTACATGGATAGATGTGATTCTCATAAGTTCTTGAATCAGTATGCATGTATGTTTTTTTTTATTCTTGCTTATTTATAAACAGGCACATATAAAAAATGTATAAATCTTTCAACTGTTTATTTTTATTTTTAAACAAAAATCAAAATACCCAAAATTGGTGGAATAAAAATACCAAAACTCAACGTTGAATTATAATGCCGAGCTCTTTGGCATAAATTACAACAACTTTAGCAACGATAATGCACAATGATTCCAACTTTTGTCACTTCTTACTTGACCTCAATCCCCTCAATAGTATAGATCTGCAGTAACAATAATAATATTATTATTGTTTGATTGTGCCCTTTTTTAAAAAAATTGACAATATTGTTTTAAAATATAGTTTCATCCAACTTATTAACCTTTTATTTAATTTTCAAAAATACTAAATTGACTGTTATATGTTTCAAACACACTCCATTCAATAAGCGAGGGCTTCAAGAAGCTTGTCCAAGCTTGGATTCTACGCTCAGAAGTTTTCCCAAGTCTCACTTATAAGTGCTGATGGTATCACGGTCACCTTCTCTTTTGAGCTTCATCCTCTCCTTAGCACTGAAGTTAACAAACCCCCGGCGAGGGTTTGAAACCTGTTTGTTGCACAAACACGTCTGAATAGCTCTAGCTTGTTTGCAGAGGGGAGCAAGATAAAAGACAGTGAGGGGTTTTATGAATGGGAATGAAGTGTGACCTAGAGCTGATAATAAAGAAAAAGTAGAAGAAAGTAAAAGAAGAAAAAGGTCAGAGAAAAAAACATGTGGTGGATGTTTTGTTGGGTCAAGCCCTGCAGAGCTCAGCTCTCAATCAAGGCAATAAATATGGATGACATCCTTTACCACGGAACCAAGTTGTCGCGGATCCCATCTCCACTGTTCACACTGCCGATAAGAATTGACCTCAAACAGCCCTACCAATGACAGCCCCGGATCCCCCCCCATGGTTTACGGTCCATTCACACTGGCCACCCCCTCGCCGGTGTCCAAGTAGGCATGACAGGGCTGCCAAGTCAGCCAGCACTCCAAAAGCGAGAACTAGCAACAACGCTTGAGGAGATGCTCTCCCGTCACCGAAACAGCGCGGGGCCCAGCCCAGCCCAGCCCAGCCCAGCCCGGGTCCCGCCCAGCCAACTGCCTACAATAGGTGTTACGTAGGATCTGGCCTGTCGTGAAACCGGTGAACTCCCCCTCTTGATCGTGCTCGCATCGTGACCGTCCACTCGAGGATTCGATGAAGGATCTTGCTCTCTAGCTCTCTCTCATTGCTAAAGGCCATGGAAAGTACCATTGTCAGATCCAGGTTCTGAAATCGTGATCGTCCGATGGAGTTGGAAAAGCACGTCGATCGAAGCCGTCCATGACTCGGGGACAATTCAAAGCGGTTTGTGCAAACAGGGCTGGGGGGGTGGACGGGTTGGAGTGCGTCCGTCCGATGGGGTGCCCCTCAAGGAGGGCCAGGATCTGCCGACGCGGACGCAACTAGGATGAGCGTGTGGCTTGACTGCGCGGGGGGGGGGAGTGGAGGATTGAAATGTGCGCTCTACGGTGATCGCCTCCATTTTGCTTGTATCCAAGCACCGCAGTTTTTATTTTCATTGATTTTTATCATACGTTTTGCACTCTTCTCACAGAGGAAACCCTCGATTTCACATCCAGTTGTAAAAGTAAGTCGAGACTAGACAACAACTGCCACATGTCCTGTAAAAACTTTAGTCGCATGAATTGTAGGCTATAATTTTAGTTACCGAATTGCAGCTTTGAGAGGAAGGACTTTTCCTTTGGCTCCGGATAGGCAATCAACCGGGTGTTGGTTGGGCAAGGTTTGGTTTTTTGGTGTGGGGAGGTCGTGATTCAGATTCGTGCCTTTCAAGGGGGGAATTGTGTTCACTTTCACCAGATTGCGTGGGTTATTCCCAACTGGGTGGGAGCGAGAGACCAGAGATGCATGATTGCTATCCGGAGGGAGGGAGAGAGGGAGGGGAGGAAGGAAGTCAGAGGGGGGTGGAGCGAGAAAGAGGCGGGAGGTAAAAGCAGGGCAGAGTGCGTCACCGCAAATATAGAGGATACCTTCAGAGCAACACAAGCAACGAACATCATCTGCCAGTGCGGCAATTCGGCCACGTCGGCGACCGTGGCAGCCGGCCCTCCTCCGCCTGAACTCGGCCGCGCTGCTGCTGCTGTGCCGTGCCGGAGAAGGGCCGGCCCCTCCAACGAGGACCAGACGAGACGAGACTAGACCAGGCCAGTAGAAGCAGCAGCAGCTCGGAGGAATGATCCTGCACTTGCCCCGTTCCGCCCACTTGTTTTTCCCCCTCCCCCCTCAACCCCCGCTGACTGCACTTCCTTCTCCTCACCCCACCCCACCCTTTTGTTTTCCTTCGTCCTTGTTCCGTCAATTGGTCACTTACGCGGATCTGATCTCACTGCCCTTCCACTTGCTCAATACTCGCTCTGCGGGATAGGAAACACTCGTTAGTATTTGTGGGCTGTTGTCGTAGTATATTCGCGTCGCATACTCGGCTTGCTCATATGTCCACTTGCTGGCGGCCTTGGTTCTGCGACCAACTCTGGGATAGAGGAGGAGTGTGTCATTCGGTGGTCCAAGGTGCTGGTCTTGGCACTTGGAGCGAGACGAGCCTGCGTGTGGCAGTGTATTTTGACGTGGTGTTTAGTCGGCAAGAGGAGCATTGTTGGTTTGGCTCGTGAAGCGAGCCAGTGGTAATCTTTTTTATATTTTTATGTTTATTACCGGAGTGTGAAAGGCGTGCTTAGAGCTGCGGAGTTTTCGTGCGCCGAAGCACGGTTTGAAGAGGTAAAGGTGTTTTTTGGATAATTTGGGAGCATTAACCATTTGCGAGCGAGGCTGCGTGGGTTTTTTTTTTTTTTTTTTTTTTTTTTTTTTTTTTTCTCTGTTTGCGGCGAGGTTGGGAGAAAAAAAGGATTCGCTTGGGTATTGGGCATTACTTGGATCGGCACTCGTTGTTTCTTGTTGGAGGTCTTGTAGCCGCCGCATTAGAGGTTATTCAGTTAGTGAATCCTCCTGCTCGAAGAGAGGCGCCATCCTTTGACTTTGTTTGGAAGGCCTTGTGCACGCTTCTTCGGAGCCGTCTTTCTGGTGTCTGTTAGTGACCTCTCGTGCCTGTGTAATGCATTTGTCTCGAGCGAAGACTTCAACAACTTCTTCAAGTAGATGACCCCTGTACCAAGAGACTGTTACGATTCAAGGTGGGTGCACCAGCGCTCACCGCTTTCACTTCTATTCATGTCGTCTGGAGAGATCCTCCTGTGCACCTTCCACTGGTCTTTCATGTGTCACATTTTTGTCTAAGCGAAGTAAAAGTGTCGGTTTAGTTGTCGGCGAGATAAATGAGCTGGTCTTCGCGAAGTCAGTTGGATAATGGTGGACCAAGTCCTTGTGGGATTTAAGTATTTTGGAATAGGATGTAAATGATTTGCATGTTGGAATTGATAAGTTGATTCAGGTCTTGGGTTTTGTGGTTGTTTTTGAGGGTGGTCCTACACAAACTTCTTCTAGGATTTCCTTGTCTGTTTTCTCCCTCGTTCCGTTTTAGTTTGTTGTAAAGCTTGCATGATCTCATGACTTTTTGATTTAACGGCTATGCCACCTTGCTGCCGCAACTTCTTTTTGTTTCGTCGCATTTACTCGTTGCAGGATGGTGATTATTTATTTATTATTTTTTTTTCTTGTTTTTCAAATATATTGACTTAGGTAGTAAGAGTACATAGGTCAGCGGTATCATGTATGCAGTGTTGTCAGCTTTTGGCTCTTCATTCGAGACTCTCATATTTTCTCCCTGCTGTGTGTCCTTCCTGAAACATTTGTGTTCAATGTCGTGTTTGATATACAGATAATGCATTGACAACACGTTATGACTTACTCTGTTTAACAATGTGCATTTTGCTTACTTGCCTATGTATTAAAGCTCATTTTGGTTTCTGCTCATGGGTCAGGGTTTGGTGTATTATTCAGAATGGCAAGTGAAGCTTTCAGGTCCCTTGCCTTGTCTTATTTAGTGTCTTCTGTTACAGGATTATGGAGGCTCCCGGAGAGGTGAAGAAAGAACCTGTGCCTTTGAAGTCGGCTGCCGGCAAGGAGACCGGCCGTGCGATTAAGAGGAAGAGGGCAGCCTCTGAATCCGAACACAGTCACAAGCGCTCTCATGGTGCCAGCGGGACAAATTCCAAATCCCGAATGCCGTCCAAGGTTAAGGCCCCCAAAGATGCTGGTGCTGTTATTAGCAGCGCTTGGAAGCGAAAGAGGTCAAACATGGTTGAGGAAGATCCAGAACTGGACTCCGAGCACGTAATGAATGCCGCCCAGGCGCTCTTCGACCTTTTCGCTGGTGCCGGGATTCCCCGAAAAGACACCGTTGAGAGCAAACCTGGTGACGTCAAGAGCGGTGGTGTTAAATGGGCAGGAAAGAAGAGCAGATCCAGCAGATGCAGTAAAAAAGCAGACGATTCCTGTGCTTGCAAGCTGAGTTCGAGCTCCACCACGAGTGCAACTGTTACCGATATTCCTGAAATTTTGGACTCCTCAACCTCACGTAACCACCAACTGGTGGTATCCCATCCCCATGCCTCCGAGGCTGGTGTAGAAACTGTGCACGTCGAAGTAGACTCTGAGGCTGATGCAGACGCCAAAAGTACAGACATGAGTCCATGCGGTCTGGACTTTGATAGAGGATATCGCTTACTCTCGCAGTCGAGCGTGGAGTCCACACTTCTCGACTCACGAGCCGAGAGTCCGAGCTCCCCTCTCCGCGTTCTCAGGTCAGAAGCGGATCTCATCCCGAAGCTGGAAGAGGAGCTCATGTTGCAGTTCGGGTTTCAGAGAAATCTCCCAGTACGGCCTGTGACCAAGCCGTCACTGTTGCGGAAGCCTAAAGCTGAGGAGAATTGTACTATTGAGGGTGATGAGATGAAAGAGGCGAAGGTTGCACTAAAGCAAGTGCAACGCCGCAAGTCACGAGCTTCGAACGTTAAAGGTCAGTCTCTGATTTTACAAGGCGATGTTCTGGATGTACCAACAACTTCTTCGGGCACGGTGCTGAAGGAATGCATAGAAGAAAACAAATTTCAAGTTCCTGTTACATTGAATTTGTTTGAACCAGTTAAGACAGAAACTGGAAGAGTAAAACTAGAAGGCAGGGAGCTTTATCAGACGGGCTCGTCCACCCAAGTCAGGCTCAGAAGTGCACTGAGTGAGGTACGTTATAGCACTTTGTTTTCTTGCACATCTTTTTCAGTAGAAGTGTTGTCTCAATTGGAGTACGATCTTTATTCTTTTTCGAATGAATGAGTTTTCTTTGTCAATTAACTTTGTATTGATGGGAATTGTGTTGTTATCCTTCCTGGCAGGCTGAGAAGGAGGCTCGCAGGCTACGTCGTGTTCAAGCCAATCGCGAGTCTGCTCGCCAAACCATCCGGAGAAAGCAGGTTTTGTGCGAAGAGTTAGCTCGTAAGGCTGGAGAGCTTCAGGCTGAGAAGGATAATTTGTCTAAGGTATGTTGTATCGTAAGGCTTGTGTTGTATAATTTTTATTATCAATATCATTATTAGTTCAGTGCCTCGAAAACTAAGCAATCACACTTTTTGAACTTACAAAAATGGAATATTTGAGGATATCTCTGGTGTTCTCGTGCAGACACTAGAGCAAAAAGCCAAGGAATTAAGAAATCATCAGGAGATTAATCGGCATTTGAAAGAACAGGTTAGATACTTCACACAGCTTTTCATCCACTCAGTGTAGGCATCCCACTAGTGTGATTTACATACATAAATCATACATATTGTAATGATTGTGAACTCACATTCCGTTTTAATATGGCCTTGACATGGTGTAATCGTCTGTCTGATGTTCAGATTCTATTACAATCAGGAAGTGCAGAGACATCACTTCCTGCAAATGATGGTGGTAATTCGGCATCACCGGCTCCCGCAGCTGGTCCAGTGGGAGGAATGCCTATGCTGCCTTACTGGTGGGCGTTTGCATTAGCCCAGTCTGTCGCAGCCACTCAGTCCTCTGGAGTACCGCAGTTACCCGAGGGTGTTGTGGTGCCACCAGATTTCAATGTAGTTTTTGCAGCCACTGTAGCGGCGCTTAACAACGGAGCTGCCATGAATCCAAACATGTGGATGAACTTGATGGGAAATATGTCCAAAGCTCAAGTTCCTGGAATGGTTGCGGCACCTGATCAGCAAGCTACCTTGACTCACTCTGCAGCCAGGCCATCAGTCACTTCAGAATTACCACCAGCTGGTGGCACGGACAGGTTTCAGGTTTTGGGACGGTCACCTGTGGCCAAAAGCAGTGCCTCCTCATCACCCATGAAAGGTGTTACAAATACAGACGCAACTGTCATAATGTCGAAACCGTCGTCCCAAGTGAGTGGGAAAATACCCTCAGGACTTCCGAGTATGCTAAGTACGTCTCATTCTAGAGGAAAGTATCAGGTGGCAAGCCTGGGAGCTCCTGCATCACATTCACTACAAACTACAGGCTCGGGAATGACACAGTATCATGTTGCTGGAGATGGAATTGCTAGTGCATCTACAACTTTATCTTTGGGTCCAGGTTCCCATCAACTGCAGCAATCTGGCCGAATGGATCAGTTGAGAAAGGCAGGGAATCTGAGGTTTTTCCCCACGATAGGAAATGGTGTTCAAGGCTTTCTTGGACCTCGAGTGGGAGCTTACCAATCGGAGGCAGCGGCCAAGGCTACGGAAGCTCGGAGGCGTCGCCGAGAGCTTAAACGAACCAAGAGCCTACAAAGCCAGCTGCAGCAGGAGAAGAAACTTGTCTCAACTAAATCCTTGTAACCTAAAATCATATATATTTTTTTTACTTTTTATTTATTGATTTTTCTTAATATTTGAAGGTGCCCCTTTCTTTTCTCAGATGTGAGAATTTGTAGGGGTTTATAAGGTTCTTGGTCTTGATCCTGTATTCTACTGATTCATGTAGGAACTTCATTTAGATTCAGGAAATATTCTTTGACGGTACATGAACCAGTTCTTAATTCAAACACAATTGATACACTTGAGCATCATGGCTCGCTTTTACAGAGATCGAGTGCACATTATGCACTAGAGGTTTTGGTCAGCCAGCTCGGCGACTCTTATGTGACTACAAAGAGTTTAGCACCTTAAACGTCATCGGTATGGACATATTATAGTATTGATCCTTATCCCTCACTACAGAATGAAGGATTTGTATACAGTTTTCAAATGTAATCAAATGATGTACTGACTAGTCTAAATTTACAACTCCTTTCTGGTAGCATTGGTCACTGTATTTGTCTTTCTTTCTTTCTCAAGTGCGTGATTAGGCGAACAAACTAGGAAGTTTGGCGGGTGGGAATCTCACTTTACAGTTTCCTTGCATGACATTCAACGTTTCATGGTTGATATCACCCACAAACTGTTTTTTTGCCTTAAAGACCTGTTTTTAGCTATTGACTCTAATCGAATTGTTCCTGGCAAACATAACTATTCTCAGCGTGCTAATGTGTTCGCAATTGTGTCCACATTTTGGATCTGTCTTTTTAAGAACTATACGTAAGTGCTCTATTCTTGAGCTTGCATGTTGATTCGAAATTGTTCAGAAATATGATCCAGCTATGTAGAGTAAATAAATGTCACACACCAATTGCAAATAAAGAGTTATATATAAAAAATAAATAAATTGAAGAAGTGTTTAAAGCATTTGATTTTTTTTTTCATGCTTTTTTAAGTTTAAGAACTATAAATGAATTTGAAAATGTATATTCTAAGCATATTCAAGTTATAATAATAATTTTTAGTAACATTACATATAATATTTTTAATTATAATTGTTTAACTTAATTTGGAAGTGGTATATATATATATATATATATATATATATATATAAACATACATACATAGGATGTTTCTAATCCCACCATAGTTTTGCTACTACTACCACAAAATTGTGCTTTTTGATATGCAACACATCTTTAGGGAAAAAGAAAAGAAAAAGAAAAGAAAAAAAGTATAAAATATTGATATAGCTACTCAATAAAAACAATAGAATAAAAAATGTAGAGTTTGATAACAAAAATAATTATAAAGAAGATAATTTGTTATGCTGTATAGTTGATTCATTAAGATTTTAGATGATTATTACTTTTAATGATATATAAGATTGTAGTGGTGAATATATATTATAAGACTACTATTTAGATAAAATTAATAGCAAGGTATTTAATGATTGAAAAACCATTTTTTGATCTTGAAAAATGGCTAAAGACAATAAGATCTTTTATTTAATAATTAGTAGATATTTGAACTAGTACTTAAACATTTAAAAGTAGAAGTATTGTAATCTTAAAACACTTGATTTGGAGACCTTAGAAATAATCTTAATAATGTATATGTCTAAAAATAAAATAAAAAGCTACAATATATGGAAAATACTTATTTATTATTGATATATATAAGTTAAATTATACTAGCTCTAAAATTTGTAATGGCAAAGCAACTAGATAGAGGCTTTTGTATTATTATTATCTTTTTATTTTTTTTTCTAACTACAATAATAAGTATAACTTATCTTAAAGTGATTACTTTTAATTTTTATAAAGACCAAGAGACTTTTGAGTCTATTAAGAAGTTGACTATGGAAATTTAGATTTAAGTGAAAGATAATTTTTATATATACTATTAGAAGTGTACACAAGTAGGCCATAGATAGAAGAATGGTTCTATAAAAGAATTTTCTACAAACAAAAATTATAGTCAAACTCTTACTAATAAGGATAAGAAAATTAAAAAAAAAACCATGGTTAATATGCAAAGACTCAAAGTATAAAGATGATAGACAACATAATACTAAAGTAAATCCATACACCTTGTAGTTGAATAAGACATCTAAAACCTTTATGTTCAATAAAAAATCCATAATTAATTTCAAAACTATTTGCACTACAAATTATACAAGGAAACATAACAACTAATAGTATATTATAGATTTAACTATAGACCATTATGTAAAGTAATAATAGAAATTAAAACAAAAAATAATTTAATAGATTACCAAAAATATATATTGCAGTGAAGGAGTTTATAACTTAATATAATCAAGATTTGAATTATAAATTATTGACAAATAATATAAGATAATCTTGGTTGTCTTTTTTATTTGGCTTAGATATTATAGGTAGTAGTCCAACTTAACAACTAAGAACTAAAATAATAGATAGTAAAAAGAATAAGATATTAAAAAGTTTAGATATCAAAATATCAAAGATTGAGTTATTTTTAGTAAATTAATTAGAGTGAGGATTTTTATGCATATATATTCTATTAAATAATAAAAAATAATAAAAAATAAAATAATCTAAATAATTACAAATATGGCTATAAAAAGGATAAAATAATTATTTTTGGTTTAAAATTATAAAAGAAAAAAATTGCTAGGTGGATATATTTTTTATTGGATATATATATATATATATATATATATATATATATATATATATATTTATCATATGGACATCTCATACATTTAAGTTCCAATTTTTATTTATTTATTAGATGAATACTTTCCTTTAACTACATAAACAATTTCATACATTTAAGCTCTAAATCTCTTGACTTGCCTATTGTGAAACTTGAGCAACTTAGCAACTATTGTTTACTTGAGCTTATTTCAAATTCATCTCCATATATAAGCAATGTTCAGCAATAATAATCAATATAAAGGTAGTTAATCCATTCTTGACCACCTTCATATTTCCAATGTGTAAGGTGGTGTATTTTTGATCAACTTGACATAATAATACCAATCAATTCTAATACCTTATGGTTTTATATTTTGTCTCAATTCCATAGTACTATTGGATAAAAAATTAAGAATTTTATGCCAAATCAAAAAATTCTCCTAAAATCAAGTATTCTTGATTTTGCAATCAACCACCGGTTGGAATTAGATTGGCCTATATTTTGGATTTAATTTAAAGAGAATCTTTAATCAAGCCTTAATATATTTAATTTTATACAAAATTATATAAAAATACATAGAATCTTCTTGAATTTTGTTTTCTTATATATGGATATTTTTTATTTTTTCATACATTTATGGTAAATATGCTAAAATGCTTAAGTTATCAGAAATGGATTGACTATCTTGAACAATTCCAATATTTTTTAAAAATATTATTAGCTTTTTTACAAACATAGTCAAGCCAAAGAATTGTTCAAGAGCCAAAGAATCTTAGAGATATCTTTGTTTCCTTCTATGATTCAATCTAACAAGAATCTAACTTGGTTGAAATGAGTAATTTGAATCAACTCCAAGTACTGCAATAAATGTTCATCAACATATTGATCTTTTAAGCAACTCACAAAGATAGAAATATGGCCTTCTGAAATTGCTCTATGGATTAAAATCATTTGGAAAGAAATCTAAATGGCTAAACAAAGAATCATCTATTTGAAAGTTTACAAAATCTTCTTACAATGGCAACATTTAAATTAAATTATTTTTGTAGTGGTACCACTCCTTAGAAGTTCCATATCTTGAGAGTTGATCTCAATTGAAAATGACATTACATTATAGCAAAAGAATTGATACAACCAATAAATTCCAAATAAGATGTCTATACATGCTTCATACTCAACTAATTAGAATGGCAAGAATAGCCATATAAATATAAGGATATTCCTATGTTTTCTATGTTATGAACTTAAAGGAAATATTAGAAGTCACGTTCAACGCCCTCTTTCACTTTGTAAGTTCTAAACAAAGCATAGTTGCTTAAATAACATTGTTTTAGTTAAGAAAAATTTCAACTTTGTAATATTTTGAAATCTTTGTATTTAGCATCTTTGAAGTCTTTGACCAAAGGTTCACATTTATAATATAAAGAATAAATTCTTGGTCTACATCTTACTTTTACTATATAAAATCTAAATTTTTCAAAATATAATAAGTAGCAAAGTTAGAATAAAGCATCGATTTGAGAAGAATCATAGGTATCAAAGTTTGAGGTAGTTCCATCTTGAAATTGAATAAATAAATTATCTATGTTTGTAATAAAGTAGTCTATTAATATTTTGAATAAGGCAAAGAAGGCTTGAATCATAGTAAGTAGAGATTCCAAAATGGTTTGATTGCAATAGATTGCACCTATCATGATGGAAGGTTTTGCTATAAAATAAAAACATATAGAGGTACTATGAGATTAGATTAGAGATGCATAACAAATTGAGCTTACTTTTGAATTTTTTAAATAATAAAGTCCTTAATTATTTAGTAAAGATGTCAACTAGTTGTTCAAGGGTTATAATATACTCAAATGCCAATTTATCACTTTAAACCTTTTTATAGATAAAGTAATAGTGTGTGGCAACATAGCAAATATAAGAATTAATACCAAGATTGATAGCCATGTGAATATATCTAATGTTGTTATAGTAAATATAAATGGGTGTATTGATGCTGAAATGAAGGTCATCAAAAAGCATGCATAGCCATAATATGATTTTAGTGACTTTAATTAGGGTCTAATATTTAGCTTTAAAAGATGATAAGACAATATTAAGTTATTTCTTTGAATATCATATTATCAATGATTTTGTTGGTTTAAATATAAATCCAATGGTTGATTTGGCATCATATGAGTCAATAGCCAAATTTGAATTAACATATTTGTGCAGCATTGTAGAATAAGTAAATAAAATTTGTAGTAAGTTACTGATTGGTTATTGATAATCTTGACAATTAGACTGATGGTTAGGCAGTTTAGTTGGTAACAGTAGGTTGTTAATGGAATAAATGGTTAAGAATTCAAAAGGTCATAACCTTTGAAATCCGCTGGCAGATGGATCATCTTTCTGGTAGGATAAATAGGTTGAAAAAAGAGAGATTAGGACCAGTTGTGAGAGTCATAAGCCAGAGTAAGCTTGGTGGTACCTCTTTGTTTTCTTTGCTTTTATTATTTACTTATGAAGAATTGTGATTGAGAGAAGTACTGTTGAATTGATAGTCGTAGGATAGATTATGTGTTGAATCAAGATGGAAGTAATAAGCCTTAGTGTTTTGTAGTTTGATAATTGATTTCAGATAGCTAGAGTATAGTCAATTGTGACAGTAACAGACCCAATTCATATAACCAGTCTTTCCCTGTATTCAAACCCACATCTATTAGTTTAATTGCTTTGGTATACTGAAGCTTGAACACAATGAGAACAACATTTTGACACCGCTGTTGAGGAAATGATAACAATATGAAATGTTAGAAATTGAT